CACAGGTCTAGAGGTCCCCTCTCTGTTACGGATGTCAAATAGCTATGGCAGGTTTTATATATTTTTTTTTTTTGTACCAGGGATCGAACTCGGGACCTTGTGCTTGCGAGGCAGGAGGAGGAACCATTGAGCTAAATCCCTGGCCCCCTGTTCTATATTTTTTACCACACAGGTCTAGAGGTCCCCTCTCTGTTACGGATGGCTTTGTGAAAGCAGAACAAAGATAACCTTCCACTTGACCTCGGGAAACCGACAAGGAGTTGGTTGAAATGCACCTTTTAAAAAATCAAAGACACAGAAAGGACCCACAAAGACACATTATTTTATTGCACCAAGATCTTGGAACATCTGGGCTCCCAAGGTCCCTAGAGAGGAAGTGAAAAGGGTGGGGACCCCTTACACATATAGGTGCAGCCACACAACCAGGACATGGGGTGAGAACAAGTCCTAACGATGAAGGGTGCACAAGATGACAGGGAACACTAGGGAGGCGGCCCCTGAATGTGGGCCTCCCGCCTCCACTCCCAAGTTCTAACCCAATCAAGTGACTATTATAAAACTTAGGTATTTCTATGTATTTATATATGTACATGTCACCTACAATTTGGATGGTTTTCAGGGGTCCACTTTTCCTCAAGCCTGTCTGGCTGATGCTTTTCTGTAGAAGGAAAGGACTTGCCTCTACCAAACAGTGATGAACACTGTAGGGGGCCAGGGATGTAGCTCAGTGGCACGGCGCCTGCCTGGCAAGTACAAGGTCCTGAGTCCAATTCCTGGTGCTGGGGGGAAAAAAACATTGTAGGAAACTAGGCCAGGGCTCACCACTGCCATAGAGAATGTGGAGATACTATCCCCGGGAAAAGGTCCTACAATATTCAGTCTAGTGGAGAAAAGATGAGGCCAACTTAGAGGAGGGGGGAGAGAAACAGAAAGGAGATTGAGTCTGTGCTAGCAGACAAGTTACATTTTCAACAACAGAGCATCATGGAACAAATACGGCCAGGGAAGGAGTCAATGCAGAAGTTAATGCTTCTTCTAGTGCAGAAGCCAGCCCTGCCCACAGAAGTGGCAGCCTCCCTCCCGAGATGGCAGATATGAAGCCACAGCACTAATGCCAGGTCCGTCCTGAGCAGCATTCAAAGCTGCCATCCACTCTCAGCTGGGATGAGAAGTGATGGAGCCATGGTGTCACTATTCCCTCCCACATTTCCCTAAAGCGAAATACAAAGTGAGGAAAATCTAAAGGAACCACAGCCATGAAAACTCAAATGTCCCTCACCATATGAATACAGCAATTCCTCAAGGACTGAACGAGGACCTAAGCGGACAGCAGAACAAACGAGAAAGGGTGGGGCTGGAGATTTAGCTCAGTGGTTTCACCTCCTGCCCCACAAGCACAAAGTCCCGAGTTTGATCTCTGGTACCAAGAAAAAAAAAAGGTGGCACTGACAAAGGCAGCAGAGAAGCCAGGGAGCCAGGTTGATTGCCAGCATGCTCAGGGGAGATGAGGGGACGCATCCTGAGGAAGGACCCTCTGATGTACTGCTACATCTTCTACTGAGGAGTGTCATCTTTTCCTTGGAGACAACACTTTTACTGAGGAGTCCCGTGTTTATTAAATTATCAATCTGCAGGCACAGCTTGAGCAAGATAAAAAAGGGATCTTCTTGAGTCATACAATCATCTAGATTCAAAAGCACTCACAAAATTGAGCAAACAAAGCCAGCATTTGCATATTAGGGGAATATATTGCTGCTGGGAAGCCAAAGGCCTGGTCAAAAATAAATGCTCTATATTAAGTAGTAAAATAACGGAGAATTCATCCCCTACACCACCACCTCCACAGAGATCCATGGTTATTGCAGCTGCAAGGGAAGCTATGGCAAAGTCACCCTGGAACAGAGAGCAGCCTGAGAAGCAGACGCATTGGCACATAATTCAAGGGTTCCCCCATCCCAAACAGCCTTTGCTCCCTGGAGATGCACTGGAAGCTCTACCTGCCACTCCAGGAAAGGCAGAAGCAGTAGGGCAGGTGAGCAACAGCTCTTCCCTTTCCAAGACGGATAGTAAGGCACACAGACACAAGCCTCACTAAGGGAACGAGAAGGGCGAGGTGCAGGACAGGACAGGGCCCGCCTCGAGAGGAAGGGGTGGCTCGCCGGGAAGAGCCTCCAACTGCAAGCCTATCATCCTGGGCACGGGATGCACTGGGAGGTGCATGGTCCCATCCCTCCTGTCAGTCTCAGACAGGAGCAGATGCATATGACCACAAGGATGCTGGGCCCTTCCAAATGTCCTGTGGGTTGCTGTCAGCTCTGGTCCACACCACCAGCTGAGGTTTCCTGTGGGGCTCGTCGTGAATGTCCCCAAGGCCCCCACATCAGGTTGTCTGCAGTGATGTCGAAGTCCCCTACATGGCAGGCTCACGGCAGAGCCCCAGGGGCGACAGGGCAGCCGAGTCTGCACAAGGCACTCCTCAGATCAACAAATGGTTCCCAGGAAACGACGGCCCCAGGAGGCTGTGGGACAGGCACACTGGTCCTTCTGGTGAGAAACAAGAACCCTGGTGTTCCCTCCGCCACTCTCTGGTGGGGCCCGCTGGAAGCTGAAAGTGCCACAGGGTCGCCCCTTACGAAGGCCTGGCATACCCACACGCGTATACACCTCACGCCACAGACGACACACTCACACCCCACAGGTACACACACCCCAAAACCGACCTGTTCTGACACCGAGTTCACCGGCGGGAGCTGAGGCTGGTGGCCTTAGCTGGATGAGTTGCAGACCAAAAGTTCCGTCTACTCTGAAGCTTTTGGAAGGCATTGAAGTTTCTCTTCTTCTCTCTCTTGAACTTTTTCATTTTCTTTTCCTACATCAAGAAATCACAGGCATCACAGTCCCCAGAGAGGGCTCGCACTGACCCCAGGTGGCCCCCACCACACAGGCAGTGCCACCCTCACGCGCCGTGCACACGCGCTTAGGGGAGGGAGGCCCGCCGTCCGATTCCCTGACGAAGGCACAGAAACACCGGATGGCCAGGGCCCTGCCCAAGCACAGGACACGTGTGGAGAGGGGCCCTGGGCAGCCGGACCCAGCCCCAGCCTCAGCCACTTTGCTCCACGTCTGCTCCTCACGCTGCTCAGGCCTCAAGGGCCACGCCGACCTCTCCAGCAAGCCAGGCACACACACACCGTACCTTGCCGCGGTCAAACTCTTCATCCCAATCATCAACCACAGTGCGGGTCCGGGCCAGCCTGCTGTCCTCGATGGCATCCCGACTGACCGCAGATGGCTCGCCATCCCACGTCAGAACTGGATGACATAGGCGTGACATCAGCAGGTCTCTAGACTTGTACCAACTAGACCTGTCTGCTCTTTTTCTTTTTTTGGTTTGAGACAGGGCCTCACTATGTAGCCCACACTGGCCTCAAACTCACGGTGATCTTCCTCCCAGATGCTGGGATTACAGGCATGTGCCACACCTGGTGACCCATCTACTCTTTTTTTTGGTACCGGGGATTGAACTCGGGTCCTTGCACTTGTGCAGCAGGAGGTGAAACCACTGAGCTAAATCCCAGGCCCGACCCATCTACTCTTCATACTCCAGCTGTCCAAGTGCCATCTTTTGGTGGAAATGGACATGCAAAGGGGGAGAAAGAAGGCCAGAACGATGCGTTCTGTGCAAGATGGTCAAAGTGGAAACAGCATAGATGACTCCTGATTTGACTGTATCACCAATTACACAGCTCACTTCTTTGTCAACCCATGCCCTCATTTGAGAAGATCTTACGATTGTTCCTGTGCTTGAACTTAAGAAGGCTCCAATCAGAATGGTGCTACAGGTACCAGAGGATCTTTTGGACTGGCCCCTCGCTACTGGGGGTCCCAACACTCCTGCCAGGAGGTGCTGTTCTGGATCACTCCACCGACAGAACCCACCTTTGTGCATGGCTGGGGTCATGGGGTGGGCTTAGGGGGATTCCCCTTCCCGTTTTTCAAGCCAGACAATGCATCCCTCCTGACTTCCAGCATACCAGCACCCCCCCCCCCCACAACCTCCAGGTAAGCTGGGCCAAGGAAAGCAGGAGCCACGTCTCAGAGCCATACCTTGTCTCCCATAAGCCTTGTCTGATGAGTACTTGAGCAACTCCTGGACCACATCAGAGTCTTGGTCCCTGTTCCACAGTCCAAGAGGAGGCTGTCCAAGCCCTGTATGCAGAGTAGCCGAGATCCATTTACAGAAGTTCAAAATGAATGGCTATACAGCCCTCACTGACAGCACAACCTCGGGATTTACTAGTGACAAATGCTCACTTACTGACACTGAAGTGCTTAATGTACTAGCAACAATTTTACTCAACAGCTGTTATCCAAGTAAATTCTTGAAAAAGCCAAGCCAGAAAACCCAACTCCTACCACAGCACTGTTAGTCCTTAGTCTAACGTGGAGGGGACTAGCTCCAATCGGAATCTACTTTACCAGCCAGAAACAGCATGGAGGGTGTGACCACCCCCCGCCCCACCTCGTACTGGGAATCAAACTCAGAACCTTGCACTTGCAAGGCAGGCACATGCCACTGAGCTACATCCCCAGCCCCAAGAATGTGGATCTGAAAGGTTCCCAAAGGCCCTTGGATTGGAGGCTTGGTCCCCAGGAGGGCACTACTGATAGACCCTTGGAAGCGGGGCTCTTCAGGTCATTGGGATGTGCCCTCAACGGGGACAGTGGAACTCAGCCCCTCCTCCTTTACTTTCCAGCCACGATGTGATCTGGCCAAGATGTGCAATAGGGCGTATGCTAAAACACATCCTTCCCTAAGGTGATCATCTCAGGGATATTACAGTGATGGGAAGCTAACACATGGCCAGTGCTCAAGTGGCCTGAATTGAGGGACAGTGAAATGCCACCACCATTACTGCCATTAGGGCTGCTCAAGCTCCCCAGGTCCTCACCTGGGCGGTCCCCAGCAAGCTGGCTGTTCACGCTCAACTCTAGGCCTGTGGTGACACTGCGCTTTGTGCTCCTTGGGTCTTCTGGATGCTTGTTCTCTTCCTCCTCTTGCTGTGTCTCAGGCTTTCTTTTCTTCCTTTTCTTTTTCCTTGGAGACTCTGCCCTGGTCTCAGGTTCTCCGTGGTCCGTGGAGATGCAGCTGCCAGGAGTCAGAGGCAACAGTTAGCCCTTCTAGCACACTGGAGGCAACAGCAGGGCTCAGTGACAGGTGCCTGACCCACTTCCTTAAGCTCTGTAGGAAACCTACCCCCAACATGACCCTGAGGACAACTCGGGAAACGATTCCCTGTAACATCACTCATTCCACAGTGGGCTTGGAGAGGTAGTCAAAACAGACAAAGCCTAATGCCCATGGCCACACATTCAGCATGAGAGACAGTAGGGAGAACATCATATGGTCACATTTTTTATCCAACTGGTGCAAGCCCTACAGACTGTGGCCATACCTCACAGCCTGGCCTGGCCCAGGCCAGCTGACCCTATGTCTTTAGACCATCCTATATGGATAGGATGGCCACAGGCTTTGCTATTGTTTTGTTTTGTTTTGTTTTGGTACTGGGGATCGAACTTGGGTCCTTGCGCTTACGCAGCAGGCGGCGAAACCACTGAGCTAAACCCCTGGCAAGGACGGCCACAGGCTGGATGAGCCCATCCCGTCACTTTAAAGAACTGATACCACTGATGCTCACTGCAGAAGACAATTTCCCTATGTGCAAGTGTTAGCAGTCTAGGTTGGCATTTTACCCATCTCGAACACATCCATCTGGCACTGGACTGCTTAGTTTCTGCGGTCTTGATGGAGGACACAGGCGTGTTTTGCCCTGCTCTTACCTATGCCAAGGTGGGCCCTGGAGAAGGCCGACTTCTTCACAGAGTCCCTCTGCTCCCTTTCTCTTCCTCTTTCTGTTGCTCACATGTTGGCTATCCAGAATGTGATCCACCTGGGGCTGTGTGCCTTCCTCCACCTGTGGATGAGCTGGCAGCTCCGCCTGTCCCTTCTTCTTGTTCTCAGGGCTCCAAGGTGGCCTCTGCATCTGCTCCTGAGGAATGGCCATGGCCATGCCCTCTGGGCCCTTCCTCCTCTTCCTCTTCCTCTTCTTGCGAGGCGCTGCAGCTGCCCCCCCAAGGAGCTGCGGGATACATGCTTCTGAGCCACGCATCTGAGGCTCTCCCACATGGCTCCCGTTCCTCTTCCTGGAGGGGCTCCGAGGGGCCTCGCTGGCCTCTAGCAGCAGCAGCTGGTGTGAAGGGGACATCAAGTCCCCATTGACCTGAGGCAGGGCAGTCCAGGTAGAGGAGCAGCTCTGTGGGGGACAAGGGTTACTACTGGACAGTGATGCAGAGGGGGTGCTGACAGGAGACTTGGGACAGCTGGATGATCGGGGAGCAGGTGACACAGCCCTGTAGGGACAGCAAGTAACAGGAAGGTCATTTTGGAAGATCTTCCTTCTGCCCATCCTCCCTGCCTCCCCTTTCACCTAAGAATTTCCAAAGAGGTTTTCTCCTGTAACTCTCATACACACAAATTCTAAGTGTGTTTGAAGACAGGCTAACAACAGCATTCAAAATCTAGTTAAGATCAAAATTAGTCAGGTGTGGTGCCATATGCCTCTAATCCCAGCCCTCTGAGGCTGAGGCAGGACAATCACAAATTTAAGCCCAGCCAGGACAACCTAGCAAGTCCGTCTTAAAATAAAAAGGGCTGGGAATGTAGCTCAGTAAAAATGGGCTCAATCCCCAGCATTGTATGTATTGGTTTCTTGCGATAAAACAGTTCAAAGTGTTTTTATAAATGCTAATGTTTTGAGTTTTCAATCAAATGTGTTAAAAAGGCAAACTTCACTAAGCAAGAATGGTCAGAAAAAGTAATCCTGTCTGAATTTGTCCTCGAACCTCCAAAGCCACAGGTCCCTGAAGGAAATGAGCCTGCCAAGAAAGCCAAGAACAGGCTATGCAGCTTCTATGGCTGTTTCCCTAGGAGCCTGGGTGGCAGGAAAAGTGGGAGCACAGCATTACAAAAACAGCTCATACTGCGAGACATGTGAGGGATGGGACTGAGTGCCACAAGAGGTGCAGTGCGACCCGCCTCTCGCCAGCCACATGCCCCAGGGAAGCTAAACTCTCTCTGAGCCGTGGTGTGGCAGTGCTGCTAGCCTCACAGGGTTACTGCTTTCGACAGAACTGTCACCGTCATCCTTTACACCAGAACTGCAACCACACCACCATCATAAACAAAAATGTCCACAAAATGCCTCAACATTTAAGGACCTACAATGTGGAAAAACACTAGGCTAGGGATGGGGTCTGTGTGTAAATGTGAAAGAAAGGCAGAGGCAGAGGGATGCTGGTGGGGGACAGTAAGACAGCCCCTTCAGGGGTACAGGAGCCAGGCTGTACCTCTTCCCACCTGCCTCTTGCTCTCTGCTTCTTCCCTTCCCAGCTGCAGACAATCCAGCACACAGTGATCTGTCAGGAACCTCAACTCTCTGCAATCAGGTGCCTGAGCGACGCAGCACCTTGTCATTGCCTCACTGGAGCAGGAGGACTGGACTTCAGAAAGAGCATCTGGAGAAGTCTGAAACAGTCTCCTTATTCTAGAGACCCATGCAGCCACAGCATGAGACCCTGGGGGTACTCTCCAGGGCCAAGGAGACCGGAGCACCACCGGGAGACCATGGCATGATGCCTACAGCCAGGATGGCCAGAAGGACTGACAGGCCTCCAAGCTCGGCCAGGGGCTCAGGGCAGGGTAATCCGAAGCACACCAGGTCACGAGGTGTATGTGACCGACAGATGAAAGACAAAAACTGAAAGCTCAGGAATCCAGAGACTAAACTAACTCTGGCCAAGCACGGCTCCTTTAACAGATATGAATGGAGAAGACAAAAGGAGACCTGAGTCATCCATGGCCTGGGCTTCTTCACCAGCCCAGCAGGAATAACCAAAGGAGACAGAGTTGGCACCTGAAGGGCCAGTGCCTGGGCTCACCTGGATTTACTGACAGGCCAAGTGGAGGCAACAACGGGGTGAGTGGCTGTCATGGGGCACGTGAGGTCGGAGAGTGGTGAGGGGGGAGGTGAACGGAGGTCATTGCCGGTCGCCCTCCGCAGGGTGCTGGCCTGTAGTTATTGACATAAATAAAAACTTGGTGGTCTAAAAAAGGTTTCCGTGAGTGAAGAGGGAAAATAAAAGTAAAATAAAAATAAAATAATAAAATAAAATAAAAATAAATAAAAGAGCCCAGGAAGGGTGAGGGGATAAGAGGAGGAAAAAGGGGGAGGCAGAGGGTGGGAATGGTAGAAGAAGAATCAGAAGAGTGTTGTTGGTTAGCAACAAAAAGGAAAAAGGAAGGAAATTTAACAGAAATCTCAGCACAACAATATAGCATCGTGTCGCTGCCCCCAAGGGTTCGGGCACAGACCTTTCGGCCCGACCTCTGCACGAGGGCCCTGGGCTCCAGCTCCCCCACCCTGCTCCCACCGCAGCGGGGCTGGTGGCTTGGCTCTCCGGAGGCCTGTGGCTCTGTCAGGACACTCCGCCTACGGCAGGAAGGAGAACCAGCCCTGGCCAAACCCCACCACCTCCACCCCGAGGTAGCCCTTATGTAACGTGCGAGTTCCCAAGGATGCCTCAAAGGCAGCTGCTCCTCTGAAACCAGGGAGCTGAAGCCTCCCACCATTTCCTCTCCCCAACTACCAGCACACCCACTTGGGCCCCAAGACACTGTCAGGGACAAGGCCTCCACACACCCACCTTCTTGGCAGACAGGGCCAGTTTCTTGGCTGGTGGAGGAGACATGAGGCTCACGGGCTCAATGGCAGTGCTGCCCAGGACAGGGGCCTTGAGCTTCACCATCTTAGAATCCAATCCGTTCGGCAGCGCTTTGGAGTGACCGGCGGTGGGGCAGTTTGTTCCCTGAGAATCACAGACCTGGGCAGCTCCGCCCTTGGGGGCCTGTGGGACCTTAGGGCTGCGGCTGGAAGAGTTTTCCGGGCTGGAGCTGCCAGAAGTCCCCTTCTCGAGGTCTGCGTTCTTGCCTTCCCCCTTCAGCCCATGCCCACTGGCAGTGGCCTCAGCCAGGAGCTTTAGTGAGGTAGAGGGGACAGTGTCCCTGGTGTCCCAGGAGCTCTGCCGCCGGCTCCCAGGTTCGCTGGTACTGGGCGAGCCCTGAGAAGTTCGGAGGGACAGGGAGCAGAGCTGCAAGGGGACCTGCTTCTTCACTTTCTTCCCATTCTCATCCAGGAGGGTCGGCATGGGCGTTGGTGTGTGGGAGAGTCTGAGGGGAGGGGACCCCAAGGGTGACCTTGCAGGCACACATCCGTTCTGTAGCTTTGGGCCTGGCATGGAGCCATTCCTCGAGACAGGCACACCCATCTCCTCAGGGGTCTGGGGCTTCCTCATGGGCACAGCGCCTTGGGGCTGAAGGAGATCAAGGCAGAAAGCACCGTCAGAGACAGGAAGGAGTGCTGACCAGGCAGCTGTCCCTCAGCCAAAGGCTGCCAGACCAGGGGCAGCCTCTAGCTGTAGTGCACACTTGGGGCAAACTGCAGGCACCTAATAGTGTCTGTCTCTGGTCTGAGCAGATTCATTGCTTCCCAGCTTGTGTTCATACAGGCACGCACCTTTATGAGCATCCTCACTGTGAGAGCAGCAAATCCTGATGCTGGCGTCAGGATTTGTGGAAAGGCATGCTGGGCGTGGTGACGCCCGCCCATGATCCCAACACTCTAGGAGGCTGAAGCAAGAGGGTCACAAGTCTGAGCCTGGTCAGGGCAACTTGGCCACTTAGTGAGACTGTCTCTAAATAAAAAACAGAAAGGGCTGGGGATATAGCTCAGTCGGAAGACCCTTGGTTCAACTTCCAGTACCAAAAGAAGAGGGAAAAAAAAGAGAGAGAAAAGGAAAAAATGTACCAACCTAAGCAAATGTAGCAACCGAAACCACCACCTAAATGTAACCATTTATTAGAGTGCTAGTGCTTTCTCTTGGTCTTTCCTTCAGAATGCTTTCAGCCTGCAGAGTGGCATCCCTGGTCTGTCTTAATGCTATTGTCTGAAGCATCTTCATAGGTTACTCTCTCAGTCTTCAGGATCTGCTGGCAGCCGCCACCCCCTTGTATGGTTGCTTTATATCTATTGTACAATTAACAACACAGTATTCTATACCTCTCTCCTCCTCACAACACTAAACTGTGTGAAAAAACCCTATTCTGTGTTTATTCCCTGCTTGACCATGAAGTCCCATCCATGACCCCTACCTAGATCTCTCTCATTCACCACCACAGCCCTCCCAACCTGCTCCCACTTGCATGCAGTCAGTGCTAAAACACATTTGGGTCAGGGGTATGGATCAGTGGCAGAGCACTTGCCTAGAATGAGTGAAGCCCTGGTTTCAAACCCCAGGACCACAAAAAGAAAACAAGTGTTTTAAAGATTGAAGGATTTTCTGTATCTTGTACCCCAAGTTAATCTTCTAGAAGTGGAATTACTAGGCTAGTCTCATGAATTTGTACTTACTCTTACTGACAATATTTATCTTTTTCAAAATATACCATAATTTGGCACTATTTTTTTATTTTATTACCATTTGTATCCTCGGTGTGCTTTGGAGTGAAGTTCAAGCATTCCAATCGAGTTTTGTTTTGTCTTTTTTTGGGGGGGGGTACCAGGGATCGAACTTGGGACCTTGTGCTTTGCGAGGCAGGTGCTGGAACCACTGAGGTAAATCCCCGCCCGATGTTTTGTCATTTGGTACTAGAGATTCAACCCAGGCCTCCATACTGAGCTAATCCCCAGCCCTTTTTATTTTCTGAGACAGGGTCTAAATAAATTGTCCAGGCAAGGCTTGAACTTGCAATCCTACCTTAGCTTTCCCATGCTGAGATTACAGGTGTGCACTCTGCCCACCCCCACTCCACTCCAATGAGGCGATATTATAAATGTTAACCTTTGTGTTCCATGTTTTTCCTTATAGTTCTGGGGATGGAACCCAGGCCCTCAAGAATTTGGAGCATGCACTCTACCACTGAACTAAACTCCCAGTCCCTTGCTGCAAATATTTTAAAAATTTCATCATTTAATATATTATACATAAAGGTTTAAATTTTAGTTTAACCCATTTATATTTCACTTTCTCTCTCAATTTCTTTCCTTCCTCCCTCTCTTCCTTCTTTTCTTAGTACTGGAGATTAAACTCAGGAGCTTAGGCATGTCAGGCAAGTACTCTTTAACACTAAGCTACATCCCCAGCTAGTTCCTACCCCTTGAGACAGGGTCTTGTTAAACTGCCCAGACTGGGCTCCAACTTCCCATCCTCACACCTCAGCCTCCCAAGCAGCTGGGATTACAGGTGTGTGCCACCACATCTAGCTTCTCTCTCAATTTTAAGTTTACAAAGTCTTTCTACTTTCAGAGTTTAACTAAAACTCGCTTCTATTTTCTTTTGAGTTTCTGCGCCTATTTTTTTTTCCCCAATACTGGGGATTGAACTCAGGACCTTCCACTTACGAGGCAGGCATGGCGCCACTGAGCTAAATCCCCGGCCCTGGAAAACTTTCCTTTTTTTTTTCCACTTAAATTCTTTTATTGGTACATTTTAGGTATACAATATGTTTACATTCATCAGTGGGTGCTTGTACCTGTACATGATGGATCTTGGTTCTTATTTTTTCCCCATTTCCTGTGCGCCCTTTGCCCCCCCCCCCCCATTCCTTTGGAAAACTATTTTTGAAATGAAAACATTAGCAGCCAGTGAAGCAGCCTTGCAGGTGTGCAGGCAGGAACGCACTGCCCACAGGCATCCCACTCTGCTCCATGGTGGCCTGGAAGCTACGGGGGCTTGGTGGCTTCCAGACCTTGGCTCCAGGGGCCAGCAACTTTGTGATGACAATGTGTACTGTATTTCAATTCCTATGCCAATGTAAATGCTTCTGGTTTCAGTTTCTTTTCTCCACCATTGGAAGAAAAGACAGATTTATGTAAATGACCAAAGCCAGACCCTGCTGCCTAGATATGGGTTCATCTCTCCCAGGGAAAGAAGTGATGGCTCACAGCAGATACCTAGAGGGGCGATGCTACACGCTCTCAGACATGTGTTACAAGGAATGACTTGTTACCCTGCCAGTTCAATGGAGTCCCTAACTTTTTCAGCAGAAAATTTAAATACATATGATGATGACCTTGAGGCATTCCCTAACTTAGTTTTGGGGTCAGTGTTAGCATTTTGCCACATAAGCCTCAGCACTCTCTTTGTCCGAATACACGTGTGTACACGTTATGTACACATACTTCTATTTCTAAACCCAATATGTCTGTGCTGATTTCTATATACCTAGGCCAACCTTATACAGATCTAAGGATCACACCAGGACCCTAGCACAGGTGCAAGCACTCATGCTCTCAGAGTCAGGGGGTGGGATGCTTCCCAGGTGCTTGGGGCACAGTGCCCGCCTGTCATGGAACCTCAGCACAGCAGCTGGCCCACTGAATTAAGTTTGAATTTGTTGGGTCAGCCTCTCTCATCACTGTCCCCTCTCTCTATCCAATGGCAGCAGGTGACCAACTTAGGAAATACCATCAACTGACCCAGTATCACCGCCTGCCCACTCCTCCCATGTTGGCCAAGGGTCCTGCACAAGGAGATCTATGGACTCTTTGAGGTGCCAATGCAGAAGCTCCAAGAGCACCCACGCCAACCCGCCTTCCTCAACAGTACCTTTGCAGCTGGGGGGGAAGAAGTGACCCCGTTGCCAGCATTCTTCTTGGTGTGATCTGGAATCATACTTGGATGGCTGGGAAGGGTAGAGCCTCCCCTGGAGATGGGGCCCTCTGGACTCTTCTTAGAGCTTGGAATTCTGTTAGAGCAAGGTATCAAGTGAGGGGAAACCGTATGTAAGCTCACAGATAATACAGAGTGCAACTGAGGCAGAATCAGGGTTACCTGATATCAGGGTTAGGTTTCTATGTTTAGGTAGACGTGAAGAAGGAAGAAAACCACCTAAAGGAACCCTAAGTGTCCTCACATGCTTCTCTGAACTCTTGTCCTGCCCTTCAGCCACAGCAGAACCAAGAGGTTGTCTGGGGTTAAATTCTGAAGTCATCAGAGAGCAAAATATCCCTTGAATGCATCTTCCAAACACAGGAGCAAAAACCTGTCACCATGTCCTCCAACCACCAGGCTGGTGACCACCCTAAGAAAAGGCTCACCCAAAGCAGCTCCTTTAGACCCCCAAGCAGCAACCTTCCCTGCTTGCAGGGTCACTGCCCTAGTGAAAGCAGTCCACTGACTGCCATGCAAGGTGCCACATCTAATTTGGGGCAATATCGTAAGAAAATAGGTGGCTTAGTCACACATGCCTGTAATCCCAGCACTCAGAGGCTGAGGCAGGAGGACTGCAAGTTGGAGCCAATAAAAAGGGGCTGGAGAAGAAGCTTAATGCTAGAGTGCCCTTGGGTTTGATTCCCCGTACCCACATCCACAAAAAATCAAGCAAGCAAACAAAGCAAGCAAGCAAGAAAATAGCTTACTTGCTTCATACATGTTCAAAATAGCATCAATGTGGGGGACAAATGGAATCCTATTTTGCCCCTCTCTAAAGCTTCAAGTTTTACTAATAACCAGAAACGCTTGGCTACAAAGAGTCATTTCAAGGGGACACGATCCATTATATACGACTGGGGGACAGTATCTGCCCAAGTCTTTTCTCTCCTATAGAATTCCCAATTCCTCCCAGGCAGGAAATGGCTGAGGAGTGCACTGGTTTGGCAACAGAGCACTAGAGGGTGCAGGCACATCTGGGGAGGGTGCAGGTTCCTCACCGAAGGTAGAAGAGTACGTAGGCCTGCTGATTCAGAACCACCTTGACATTGCTGGAGTGAACCAGGGAGTCGTTCATCTGGTACCACTGTCCGTTGCTTGCCTGGGTAGCACAGGGAGCAGGAAACAAAACAACCAGCAGACATTCCACAAACCCCATTATTCACAAAGAAAGTAGTGTTAGTTGCTACATGTATCCAAGTGCTAACTAACCTGTGTTGACTCCTCCTTTAGTGGGTACTATCTGCATCACTCCAAATGTGACCCTGAAGCATGAGCTGGGTCTCATGTCCCTCCTACTATCCCTTCTAAAGGAGACTAGGCAGATACAAGCCCCACAGTTTCCAAAAATGTTTGGCCTCCAAGTAAATTATTTTTTTTTAACTAGTTCTCCAAATAAATTTTTCCACTCTAAGGACAAAGGAGCTACTTCTCTAGGTCTCCCACAAATCTTAAAGAATACCAGACTCAGTAGAATCACTTCTTAAAAGACAGATTTTAACTGAATGTACTGAAGCAACAAGGACTTGAATGTAGCTAGAAAACATTGTCACTTCACAGAATAAATGTGCAGAGATCAAATTTGGACCTGCACAGGAAGCAGCGTAAGGCCACCATCCAGAGTGACTGATCAGAGCCTGCCAGCACTCACCTTCACATAGCAGTAGTAGTGCCCAGCATGGCAGCTGTAGCCTGAGTGGACCAGCACAGCATAGAGTCCGTACATGACAGGGTCGCCATTACTCTGGGACATATATGGACGGATGTTCAGGAATTCTGGGTAGCCTACATCCTGTTTGAAAAGTTCAAGGAAAAGGCAAATAATACTCACCCTTGAGAGTATGGATCAATTGGCCCTTTTCATCCACACCCACATGAAATGCCAGACTTGGTTGGTCTCTTAACAAGTTGGGGCAACTGGGTGTATAGGAACACTGCAGCAGGTGTGCCCCCACCCCACCACCAAATGGTCAACAATCAGTGATTAAGAGACAAGGAGCTGACATGTGGGTCTTGTTCACCTGACCTATGGGAAACTGTTATTGTCCCACTAAGTAACTGATGGGTTACACTTGTCTTTGCCACAGATCTAAACATTCTGGCTGTTTTCCAACTGCAAAACAAGAAAAATAATTCATTTTATTTCCCTCTGCTCTATAGGAACAGTTGGGAGAGAGAACAGAGACCATGCTGGGTTTAGGACTTCAGAAACCGAAGTGCTAAATCAATTTGGCCAAGTGCTCCAGTAAGGTAAAATTTTAATGGACTAGGGCAGAGGCATGCCAACATTAACTTATTCCAGAAAAGAAATTTTTTTCTTAGGAAAAAATATTGTTAAATTATCTTTCAATGATAGGTGATATGTCTGCATTTCTGGTCATACAGATAAATGGTTTTGGTGGGACTCAGGAATGAACCCAGGCCCTTACGCATACTAGGCAAGTGCTCTACCCTAAGGTATACCCCACCCCTTTTTATTTTGGGACAGGGTCCCACTAAATTATCTGGGCTGGCCTCAAATTTGGGACCCTCCTCCCTCATCCTCCCAAGTAGCTGGGATTAGCAGTGTGCACCACACACTCAGCTCACAAATCAAGTACAATCTCTGGAGTGAGACACACAGATTAGTGCCAGATCTTGGCACTCAGGGAGCTCCTGGGAGGTGCACACTGACAGAACTCCACACTAGTGACACCCGGGTCCTGAAGGGCTTTCTGTGCCATCCTCGTGCATCTTGAACACCAAGGCTCTGTCTTCTGTAACCACTTGTTATTTTTGCCTGTTCTTCAACTTCCTCAAACAACATGTACTTTTTTGTCTGGCTTCTATTGATCAATACAATGTCTAAGAGACTCACCTACAAATTTTTTCCTAGCCCTGACAAATACCAAAAGCCAATACACACCAAGGGCTCAAGAGCTTCAATCCAACCCTGTTAGACACAGAGCCCTAAAAGTCAAGGAGACGAGTGCTTCTCAAATGGCGCTTGTTCACTGGAGAGTAAGTTCCAGGAGGTATTAACAGAACACAAGCTCCGGAGGGCAAAACCACACATGCCCATCACCAGTGACCAGCACAGTATGTACAATGGAAGCATGGCAGTGTTAGTGAGATGAGGGAAAGCACGACTCCTCAGACCATTATGTCCAGAAAATTCTTCATGCTCAAGTCTCAGAGGTTTAACGGACAACGTGCTTAGTACAGGCTCTAAGAAAACCTGCAATTACTGCCACTGCTGAAACTAAGGCTCAGACAAGTCCCTTGCCCCAAACCACCTAACCAGGCTCTAACTATAGAACGGACTCTAGACTTTTATGAAGCACAGATGTCTTTTATTAGAATCCCATGGTACAAACAGATTTTTACTCTTTATTCCACAAAAAGCCACTGCATGCAACTGCACCAGTTTTAGAATCAAACAGTACATAGCAGATCAGCACTATAGAGTCCAGTGTTCATCATACTTGTTTCTCAAGGAAATCCTGGCACTCCACATCAGGAAAAGGCCAAGAACAAGCAGAAGTCGAGGGGAAAAAAAATCCAGTAAGACAATGGTTTTCAAACTGCACTGGGCAGAATAATTTAGAGATTGTGAAGAAATAAGATTCCTGGGCCCTGTATTCCAGGGAAAAGCCAGGAATCTGTGCCTTATATAAACAGTTCAGCTGAATGGATGTACAGCAAGACCCATGAAGCAGACTGGGATGCAAGTGAGCCCTCACCTTGGTGATCTTCCCCCCACTGAAGTTGGCAAAGCGCTTGAGAGACAGGGTTAAGACATTGGATGTTCTGTGGATGGTGAAGCGCTTGCTGGCTGGAACCTTCTTCTTGCATCTGTGAAGGAGAATGAAAAGGTATTAGACAGTGGTCTGAAAAACACCTGTGCTCATGCTATCTTAATAAAGCGACAATCACTTTGTGATAATGGAGACTTCTTAACAGAGACCTGTGCTTTAACAACAAAATCAATAGGTCCTCGGTCAAGAATAAACCCCTTAGGGCAGCAAAGACTAGAGAAAGGGTGGAGATCCTGAAGCAAAAAAACTACTTCACTAACTTGGAGAATGAATAAGATGTGCAAAAAGTGGCTTTAGGGTAATACAGGAAAGAACAAACCTAAGCAGATGCAGGAAATGATAAAACAAGTAAGCAGGAAATGGAAGCAAGCAAAGCCAGAAGACAAGCAGAGGAGGGAGGAAACAGAGACAGAAGTAAATAGCTTCTAGAGCTGAGGGACGAAAAACTGTTTTGGCACAGAGCAAGAAACTTGAAAAGCAGAATTAAGAAACTGTTTTTCAGGGTTGATTACAGCTTCACAGTGCCTACATATAAAGACACCACCCAGTAAGACTGCAGATGTTAAAAGGATGAGGAAGTGTTATATCTGCTGTGACACTTCAAGTTACAGAGAGAAGCCACAACCGTGTCTCATCTGAGAGGCAGGATGGTGTAGTGGTTCTCTGCCACATCCTATTGGCAAGACCCTTGGCAAGTTCCTTCCCCTCTGAGCCTCAGTTTTGCCACCTTGGGGAATGGGAGTAACAATGGTCCCTGTGACCCAAGTTAATATCTGCACACCCTTTAGAATACTGACAAGTGCTATGTGAACTCATGTCCACTCCCTTGTTTGTGTTGCAGGAGGGCCATGTTTATCATAAGGACTCATATACAGGCTGTTTAAGCCACGTGAGCAGGGTTACCTCTAAGGAAGGGGATGAAGGGTACTGGGTCAGGTGACTTATTTTACGATTTTCTGGATGTTGAGTCTTTCACTGAGAGCAAGGTGAAACTTACTTGGCACACATATAGGCATTCTCACCACTCAGGACATCTGGTTTCACAAAAAGTTCCAGAGCGCGCACAATATTTGCAGCTTGCTGAGAAGGATAAAACGAATTAAACAGCAGGAGAAAAAGGCTGACTCAAGATATACCAAATTTAAGGTCTTTTTCAGGCTGAGGCAGCAAATCACAGAACTTGACTTGCATAAAAATTGGCTCACTAGCTGCCACCTCCTGAGACTTGGAACACCCACTACAAAGGAGGAGGGAGCCAAGCTGTGTCCTTTTTCTAGCAGTGACAAGTGACAGCCACATGAGGTCGGGCATGTGAATCAGTCACTTTCATCTCGACTGTAGCTGCATCCGCTCGAAGGCTTACATGGCCCAGCAACGGCGACCCAGAATAAAGAACAGGGCCAGCCCATGGTGCCCAAAAGTCTGCAGCTCCTACGGAATGGCTCCCTGGCACATCAAGGTCTCTCTCAAGCTTGTGTGACAGTGCTGCCACTGTTCATGCCTCTGAACACAAAACTCTTTCTTTTCTCTCTTTTCTCTCTCTCTCTCCCTCTGTCTCTCTCTCTCTTTCTTTCTTTCGATAGGAGTATCAGTTTCTAACATAAGTTGGATGCTAAGTATTTCTTATCCTCATCTGTTCTGGCAATACGCCTTCATTGCCCTGCCTGGCCCTCAGCTTCAGTGCCCTGATGAAGATAAAACCCCGGAGCCCCATATGTACCCGAATCTCTAGCGCCACATCCAGGTAGGGGTCGTAGGTGTCTGAGACGCTCTTGCACACGGAGCACTTCACTGCAACAGACAAAGAGCAGTGAGCAGCCACAACCACAAGGGGACCTCCAGGCTCTCCACACCTAGAACCGCAGGGCCAGAACTCTCAGCCTGCTTCTGCCACAGAGGATTGTCTGGCCAGGCCCTGGAGTCAGGAGGTGGGAGACAGCCCCTTGCTAGCAGCGCTCACAAGCAGATGCCAAGCCTCCCCACACCTGGGTCTCATCTGTCACCAACCAGTAACTGCCCTGGGCCGACCGGCAGTGCTCTGTAGTGGGACAGCAATGGCCACACCTGGAGGACCAGGGATAGCAAGGTGGGAAAAGCACATCGTCACTACACTTGGCACTTTTCCCCAACTCTCTCACAGGGACATTGTTAAAATTAGTAAGCAGGCAGGAAGCCAAGGTTCAAGACCTCCACGATGTACTGAGTCTCCCTAGGAAGGAATGAGGTCAGCCTACCCACAAATGCTCAAGGTTTTCTGGGTTAATGTCTAGCAACCAGAGCAGGATGGAGAAAACATTTCTACTCACCTCGTGATCTGAGATAGCCTCCAAAAATCTGATGCACCAAGGTGGTTGCCTGTGTCTGACGATCCAGCCTGAAAAGGAGGCAAGCCTCTGAGACATAGCTGTGTTTGAATCACTTCCCCCCAGTCAGTGACCACTGAGAAAGCATACCTGCTCCGCCACACTTGGAACTTGCACCTCAGGGCCCAGCAGTGCTGGGGAAAGAGGCTTTCTGCAAAGCTACCCCTTCACAGCTGGCAACCTTGCCACCCACTTCACAGAAAATAAAAGGTGCAGAAAAGTACCTGCATCCTCACCCTTTCCTTTAACTCTTAATAAAAGAACCCAAATATGCGGTGGGGCTGGAGGCTTAGCCCTCCCTGAGCTTTGGGGTAGGAAAGTGGGTAGGAACAAACCCCCCTTCTCCACAGCCTTCTCAGCAAAAGACAGCAGGGTCATGAGGCCCCAGCATGGATTACTAACCCAGGGCAACACTAGCCTTAGTACCAACCTGCCCAGTGGAGCTGAGAGCCCATGGTCTTCCTGACACCTACCCTGCCCCAAAGAGGTAGAAGCCCACAGTCCCCTTGTATGACAAGGATTTGTGTAGCAGTTACTTGTGTCCTGCAGACTCTGGACAACACTCCATAGCTCGTTTTCTCTCCTGGTTCCATTTGCTGCCCTCCACATCTGCTCCACCTCAACCCTCTGAAATTCTGTCGTCACCAGCGCACCAAGCCCCAGCTCTGGAGTCTTTTCTCTATAGACTATGGCACTCAGAGACTAGTGGCCCCTTCCTGCTCCTCACAGGGATCTGTCCCTGGGCTAGGGGCTAAGCGGCCTGATTCACACTGCCTATACGACACACGCACACATAGTTTCTCTGCCTGCCGCTGGGCTAGGCCTTTATTCACCACAGTGCTTCCCAGACTGGGAGCTCCAAAACCTCTAGGGCACACTTTTGCTTTGCAAAGTTAGGAAATTAAAAAGTCAACGGCCACCATCTACTGTTATCACCATTCATCAAAAGAGGGGCTATTTTAACTCCAAATAAACTAGCAGGGTGGCATCTCAGAGGACGCTGAAAACCTACAGGCAACTGAACACTACAGCAGGTGCCAAGTCCCAGGTCCGAGAGAAGTGAGAACCAGAGCGTACAGAACCACTGAACCCACCCTCAGAGTTGCAGGCAGAGAAAGCACAAGCACCGACAGGAGGCCAGGGCCTGGCAGCGTACTCCCCTCATGGCCCCGTATCACACCACCCGGGCAAGCCAGGATACCTCAGGGACAATGAGGGAGGGGAGTGAGGCCACTGGGTCGGCCCCAGTCACCTGGTGTCAGAAAAAAGGACTACAGAGGCCTGAGACTGGGTGGGGAAGGACCAAAGAAAAAGAGACATTATGATCCTGAAAAAAACCCAAACAATCAGAGGTTGCAGACCCTCCTACAACTCAGAAAAGCCCTATTAGTTAAAGAAAATGCCCTCACTGTGCTGACAGAGGGGCTGTGGCTTCAAAACCCCGAGACTCATAGACCCAGAGAGAGGAAGGCAGCCTCGGTTGAGGCAAAGGGGATAGGGTAGAAAACAGCAATAAACAAGATGTAAAACATTCACAGATGAAAACTATCCCTGGGAAGCAGGCACAAAGCAAGAGAAAACAACACGAACTCCACACTGAATTAAATATCCTCTGATACACAAGGGATACAAAAAACTACTCTGAATAAAATAGGAAAAATTTTTTTGAGACAGGGTCTCACTATGTAGCTCTGGCTGGCCTTGAACTCACTATGTAGCCCAGGCTGGCCTCTAATTTGCAGCAATCCTCCTGCCTCAGCCTCTCAAATACTGGGATTACAGGCATGCAGCACCACACTCAGCTCAAAAAATTTTAAAAATACAGAAAAGTGAACTCAGGAAAGAAAGAAGATTTCACACACACACACACATGTCAACAATGAAGACAGCAGTATAACTGTCTAAGGGAGAAATCCACACAGGGGACTACAGAGCAGGAAAACAAGCAGAGAATGAACACACAGTGAAGACAGGGCATCCAAGAGAAAGCAATGAACAGTAATAATGGAGTACAATGTAGCAACAAAATATAAAACTAGAACAAAGAAATCTTCCAGAAGCAAGCAAAAATGTCCTCAAAACAAACAAACTACAGCCCAGGATTTAGCTCAGTGGTGCCACCACCTGCTTTGCAAGCGCAAGGTCCTGAGTTCGATCCCCAGTACAAAAAAGAGAGAGAGGGCAAAACAAACAAAATACTGCCATCAGCGTGCTGCCACGCGAGAGCACCCTCCCAATCGGTGCTGAGTGGCACCACGGCAAGGTCGCCTCCCTGGTAACAGAGCCCCTAGGCCACACTTGGCAGCATGACATGCTCATTTACCAAGCTGGCCTCATGGTGGACTGCTGCACATTTTTAAACCACAGAATTTAAGAGAGCACCAGTCCAGAGGCAATAGTGCTTCAGACACCACTTGACCATTGTTGTAGGCTGAGTCTTAGGTTAGTAAATGCTTTTCTGTCTGTATTTAGGGTTAATATTCAACTTCTAAGTTTCCTTGGTCAGGTGACAATGTGGCATATAGGAAAATTAGATAATCAGCTGTGAGACAGCCTAGAAAAACCATCAGGCTTTAAAGATTAAAAAAAAAAAAGTGGTATCACATACTTATAATTCTAGCATTGCGGAGGCTGAGGCAGGAGGATCATAAGTCAGGCTGGGTTACACAGCAAGTTCAAGACCAGCCTGAACTACATGACAAGACACTGTCTCAAACAAAACAAAAGGGAGCCACTGCCACCCCAAAAATCCTCAAGTCCTCTAAGCAAAAAAGCAAATAGCTCCATCAAGAGAATGACAACTCAAATCTGGGAAATTCTGTGCAAGCATTTAAAAAGGGGAGATGTACAAAGGGAGTCAATGGAATCTCCCACACAGTGAAAGAAATTTAAAAAATAAGCCAACAGAAAAAGCACAGCAAATGCGCCATATATAATGATTGTGAGATACAAGGATGAGGGCTGAGAACAACCTTTTCGGTGGCAACGACACCCTGAAAGGGCTTGACCTGCCTAACAATCTGAACCTTAGGGTGCCTGAAACAGCCCAGAGAGGGATGGGATGAGTACGTGTGTGGGAGGGGAGACCTCCCAGAGAAGGGGTGCAGCTCCAACATGGGCAAAGGACAGAGCCAAAAGGCACAGATTGTGACAAAGACACTTCCTAATGCTGGGGCAACGATTCTCCGAGAAGGCGGGGCAGAAGTGAGCATCCACCCACAAGCGCCCGCACAGAGCAAAACAGCCGCAGCACAGCCTCCGAGCGCCACAGAGCGCCACAGAGCGCCACAGAGCGCCACAGAGCGCCACAGAGCGCCACAGAGCACAGAGGCGGCAAGCTCAGACACGCCAGAAGACAAATGCGACGCAAGCAACGGCAAGGATCTTTAAGACTCGGGCAGCAAACTGCACACCCTGACAGCAAGAACAGAGAGTCTTAAGGCCACAGAGCACAAACGCTGACTGTGCACCTACCAAGCCACAGAGAAAACACCAGGAAGTTCCGTAGAGATATTACAAACACACTCTGATCACAATGCAAGCAATCTCAAAATCGCCATCACCAGCAAAAATCAAAACGGGCTGCTCACCTACCAACTGATATCCCAAATGATTCTTGGCTATGGAAAGCGCACCCTTGTGACATTTTTTCACTAGAGGCCAAGGGAAACTCTCAGGCGGTGTTGGTGAGCATCCATCTCTCACCTGACATTGGCCTCTTTCCTGTCCCCCTCTGTGGGAGGTGCTAGCCAACACCTCAGAGGCCACATCCGGACTCCTTCCCTACAACAGCCGCAAATCCAACCCACCCTCCACCCCCAGCCCTCCCCAACTTCTTCCACCAGCAGATACCACCTAACTGGCCTGGGTCCAGAGGCCAGTTCCTGTCCTAAACTCTCGAGGTGACCATGTCCTTTGCTAGGGTTAGCTACTGCAGCAGACCCTCATACCCCACTGCGGGGCGGGGAACTCCCCCTTCCCTGCTGGGGTCTAACCTCCAGAACAGGCTAGGTCACCCCAACCTTCCATGCCTTAAGTGTGGTTTCCAGTCTTTCCAAGACCATGCTTTCCACAGGATGAGGAAATGCAGCACTGTAAGCTCCTTAGACATCTTTAACCTCTAGACCCTCAGAGCTGAATTAAGTGTCAGGCACACAGGAGGTCAACAAACAACTACTGGAGCAAGCATCTCACCAGGGGATGGTACATTTAAAAGGGCAGACCCAGTTCGTGTGTTTGTGTATGGGCACATGAGAGCTCACGTCCCCTCAGGGGATGGGAAGAGCATGTGCCTTCACCCTTTGAACAGGAAACCAGCGTCCAAGAATCCGGTGACAAATTTTTTTCATGTAACTTGACAAAGTTTTCTTATATACAGGTTATTTACCTAAGACTCTCATTCACCGGAACAGGTGGTGTTCCTATTTCAAACCCTCACTGCTACAACTCAATTGTTCTAAGGAACAATCTAGACATTTCCTAAGCTGTTTCAGACATTTCCAGATACAGGTTTTAGTTCTCTTCCAAGCTTCAATGAGAAGCAAGGGATAGCAAGCACTCCCTGCCTGGTCTCAGCTGAACCTCCACCCCACGGAAAGACAACACAGAGCCCTTGACAATGGTGGCAGGTACGTATGTAAGCACTCATTCCGTAATCAACGGTTACACAAATATGTTCTGCTCTCCAAATCTCAAAAACAGTAAGCAAGCAGAGTGAACCTGTAAAAATCATAACCTTGCTAACCTCAAGTTCTCCTACATGCTGGTAAGTTCTTATACAGAGATATTATAATTCCCACTACCCCACCCTCTCTATCAAAACAACAGAGAGATTTTAGAAAGACCAAGAGCCACAACCAGAGCCCACTCATTCCAGACCTGCCAAATCACTTTCCCTCGCCGGGGTGCGTGGGACAGAGCTACCACTCCTTGGTCCTGCCGCCTGATCCAATCACACTGCCCGTGGCCAGCCAGGAGGATACAGGAGACAGCCCTCTCCCAGGCACCCCCAATTTGGGCCTCAGTGGGGGCCCACGCATATGTGCAAATTCTGCCTCGTGTGCAGAGAAGCCCGGTAGGCGAGTGAGGGCTGGCTGTCTCCACCGTAAAGGAGTCCGGTGAAGCCCCTCAGGATGGGCGGGAGAGGCTAGGCACATACTTGGCATAGCCACTCAGGCAGGCCTTCTGCATGGCGTCGATGGTGTACCGGAGAAACTCGTGTGCATCCTCTTGGTTCCCAAAGCGGAAGTGCCGCGCAATCTCTGCGGAAGGAAGGAAAGGGTAGAGAAGAGTGCTGCCTGCCCCAGGTCCACTGCTTAGTCACAAGGGGAAGAGACCGCCCTTTTACAATTTTCACAGCACAAAGTGAAGAGACCGAGCACTCTGCGTCACGCTGTACAGCCTACTCTCCGTTCAGGGAGGCAGCTAATTGCTCAGTGAGACCTAAGGGCTTGGGCTTGGCTGGGCGCAGGGGCTCACACCTGCGGTTTCAGCTATTCTGGAATATTAGTAGAGCCCAAGAGTTCGAGGCCAGCCTGGGCAACCGGGCGAGATCCCCCACTCCCAAAGAAAACAGAATGTAAAATTCCACAGACGAACTAGTTTTCCAAGAGCCAACACAGAAATCAGTGGATTCTAACCACATCAGTTCCAAACTTAGGTGCCAACTTAGGTTCCAAAAAACCAGGAATTCATCTTTTCTACCAAGTGACTGGGAAACCGGATCTCCACAGCATGTGTTGGCTGCTTCCTCTAAATCTCTGAAAGGACTTGGCATACTCTCATCCTCCTCTCCCAGCTGTCCCTCACACTCACCTGCCAGCCTTAAACACACCACACACTCTCTGCCTGATCAAAACTCACCTGTCCTTGAGGCAGGGAGCAGGTCCCACCTGATCAGAAAGCCTTCCTTCCTTCAGGGCAACTCCCTAGGCCTCGTGCGTCTCAACTACCACTCCTTTGGCCTGCAAGGCTCAATGTGGGACCATTAGCCAGTAAGGATTCCTAAGACTACTTTCATGACATTCTCCTCCCTTCTACTGTCTTGGCAGCACCAACCAAGGAGCTAGCATTTAGCCGACACCCAAACCATGAGTCCATTCTTACTTTTCAGGTCGCGGATGAAGGAGATGGGCTTGATAGCATTACCACTGTTGGCAAAGGCCTGAACGATGTGGTTCTGCATGACGCACAGCATGCAGAAGCTTCCCTGGTGACCTGTTTATGAAGAAGCAGCAACATTAAGATAAGAGCTTTGGGGAGCATTCCCACCCACACCTCCACTCTGACGAAAGAGAAGCACAGCACACAAGGGCAAGCACGTCTGTGAGAGGCCAGGTGAGCCACAGAGACCCCGGACTAGACAAAGATTTGTGGGTTGCCAGGGAAATATTCTTCTCTCCTGGATGGCATTCCAGGGCCATGAGGCTTCCACAGCTGTAATTCTGACACTCCTGCACCACTATGGCCCTGTTTTAATGCCACTGATTTGCATGAGATCTTTTTCATATCTAATATACAAACATACACACACACAATTTGGTGGTGCTGGGGATTAAACACAGGGCTTTCACACAGAGGTACTCTGTAGTCCTTTTTTATTTTGAGGTAGCGTCTTGGTAAGTCACTAAGTGACCCAAGTTGGGCTCAAACTTGCCATCTTCCTGTCTCAGCCTCACAAGAGTGCTAGGATTAGAGGTATGTACTACCATAGATGGCTCATTAGTACTCTGTAGTTACACAATGAGGAAGTCTAATTTTCTTTTCTTTTTTTTTTAGTACCAGGGATCGACCTCAGGACCTTGCAATTGCAAGGCAGGCAACAGTGCCACTGAGCTAAATTCCCGGCCCGAGGAAGTCTAATTTTCAACATGAAGTTTATAGGAAAATATCTTCTCTAATGTCTGAGTTACATCACATGGTCAATAAGCTACAATATTTTAGGACTTCCTCATGGTCCCTCAGTGGGAACCTCTGCTCTACTCCACCCAGTAAGGACCTCATTACTGTTTAGCAAGGACTGAAAACTGTAGACTTTCAAAAAGCAAATATTTTGGCTTTGTACACTATGTAGTCTATAACAACTAAGCACTCTACCACACTGTAAGGCAAAATCAGCCAGAGGTAATATATAATAGGTGCCAGGTCTGGTGGTGCATGCCTGTAATCCTAGCACTCGGGAGGCTGAGGCAGGAGGATCACCAGGAGTTTGAGGCCAGTGTGGGCGCCATAGTGAGCTCAAGGCCAGCTTGCACTACAAAGTGAGACCCTGTCTTAAAACAACAACAATTACAACAACAACAACGTGTATTCACAGGAGTGCAGTACAAGCAAACTCTGCATATTAAACAGCTTGTTCTTCACAGGCATTAGATCAGACTGTGGTACATTCTTACCTTTATGATTGTGACTTAAGTACAAAGAGAGGTGCAAAGAATAACGATGCTCAGCTCTACCCCATTTTACGTGTCTTATCAGTAAAACAATGGTGTAACAATTAACTTTCCTCAATCATATTCTCCATATTCCTTCATCCAAGATGAGCACTAATTTGAGTCAGGCAATTATTATTCCCATTCATGTACTTCCTGCATTAATACATGCTGCACAACCACAAATGATACATGGCACTGTGGCCATGTGTTTCCAAGCTCATAGCAACTATACCATGCAGCTAGATATCATGTACATCAGCCACTTGCTTTTTAAATTAAGTTTGCTGGTACATTTTAGGTATACGATATGACATTTACCATTGGAAATTTGTACCTGTACATGATATACCTTGGTTCTTATTTTTTTCCCCATTCCCTTGCTCTCTATTCAACCCCTCCACCCCGGCCTATTTACAAAGACTTTGTTTCCATTTTTTCCTTTTCCCTACCCCCACCCCCCCCTTCTCCTTCCCCTTTGGACCTTTTCGTCCTATTTCACATTATCTATTATACCTTTTGGTCCTTTTTTACACTTTCAGTTTCTTACACCAGAGAAACTATTCGGTATTTACCCATGTGTGTCCTATTTATTTCACTTAAGAGTATTGCCTCAATGTGCATCCATTTAGCTATAAATGCTTCTAGTTTATCATTCTTTATGGCCTAGTAGTACTCCACTTTATTTTTTTTCCCCCACTTTATAAATAAACCACATCTCTCCCCACCACCTGGGACCGAGGATCAAACTCAGGACCTTGGGCTTGCAAGGCAGGCTCGTTGCCACTGAACTAAATCCCTGACCCCTAAAATCACATCTTCTTTATCCAGTCTCCAGTTGATGGACATTTGGGCTATTCCCAAGATTTAGCTATTACAAACTGTGTTGCTATAAACATGGGTGAGCATATATCACTGCGGTATGATGCTTTTAATTTTTTTTGGAAGATACCAAGCGACTAGTTGGGTCAAATGGGACCTCTGATCCTAGTTTTTTGAAGTATCTCCACAACGATTTCCACAAGCACCTTGCTTTCTTAAAATCCACATGGACACAGCTTTAATCCTTCCGATTGTGCAGCTAGAGTATTTCACTGAATGAACAGACCAGTCTGTGTCTGTTCCTAACACGCGCTCAGCCCATCCACTTCTTCTGCTACCTCCACTGGACACAGTAAGAGCTGTTCAGAAGCTGTGGTCCCAGGCTGCACCCATTCCTCTGCAGGACTGTACTGTCTTACTCGGGTTGCCGACTGTTGGGACAGTTTTGGGCTGCAGACATTTTAATACACACAGCAGATCTTCTCTGCAGAACTGCTGGGTACCAGATTTCCCAAAGTAGTTACACCAGCTCAGGCCTGGAGTATAAAAAGACTCTCAGAGCTCTATCTCCTCTGACATTTGTATTGTCACACGTCTGAGTTATGATTCACCAAGGTATAGAACAGCATCCCACTGTGGTTTTCATGGCCTTTCCCTGAAGACTACAGGCTGAGCATTGCTTCATGTGCTTCTCTGACCTTGAATTTCCTCTTCTGTAAAATGCCTGTTCCTAATTTTATCTGTTTTTTAACAAGTTGCCTTCTCTGTGTTGATTTACCATTCTTTATGTACTTTTAATACCAATTTGTGCTGATTACATGCCGCAAGTTTTGTCTCCCAGCTTGTAGATGGTGTTTAAATTTTCTTTAAACTTTTTTATAATTCCTTTTTTTTTCTTTTTTTTGGTACCAAGGATCAAACTCGGACCTTGCATTTGAGAGGCAGGCAGCGGCACCATTGAACTAACTCCCCAGCCCACACTGTTACACTTTTGATACTGTTCTTTGTCCATGTTTTTACAAATGATGTGAAATAAGGACCCTATATCAGTGTCTTCTATATGTTAAGCCAAGTTTTAATTAATTTTAGTTCCATGTATTAAAATGACGGATCCACGTACATGCAAAAAACTGGTACGTGCCACCACACTTCCATATATGTGAGTCTCTTTCTGGGCTCCTAAGTCTATTCCATTGGTTAGAACATCTCTCTTGGATCTAATACTGTAACATTTTAATTTTTTACATTGTCATTTAAGTCTCTCTAGTTGGCAGAATGCATCCCTTCTCAAAGTCATTTTCATAAATGTCTTAGAGGGCTGGGACTGGGGGGTTGCAGCCCAGTGGTAGAGGCTTGCCTAGCATGTGCAATGGGTTTCAGCCCCAGGACAGGGGAGGAAAAAAAAGTGTCTTGGTGATTTTTGGACTTTTGGTTTTCTGTATAAATTTTAGAATCAACTGAATGTATATTAGTCTACACATTAATTTAAGAACTAACATCTTTATAACAGTGAGTTTTCCCTTTATGAAAGCAGCTCTTTCTCTCATTTAATGTCCTACAATGAAAGTTTTCCACATGTATCTGGCTAAATTTAGGTCTAGACTTCATTGTTTATGTATACAGCAAATTGCTTATTGTTTGAGACAGAAAAATTCAACTAATTTTTGTTTACTAATGTTATACCTAACCATGCTGCCAAATTCCCCTTGCTGAATTTCTATTTTGCCTATACATTCTTTTGGTTTCCTAAGCAGCAATTTTGTTTAAAATTACAATAGTGTTATTCCCCTCTCCTCTTCCAGAAGCCACATCTGTGTCTGGGACCAACGCAATCTTAAACAAGACATGAGGGTGACCATGCTTCACCATGATTTACAGTATGCTTCCAATGCCTTCTTAGCATGATGGCTTGATTTTTTCTACTCTGCCGAGAGTTTCATTTTTAAAAAATACATAACATGGGCGGGGAATTTAGCTCAGCGGTCCTGCTGCTTGCCTTGCAAGCATAAGGTCCCGAGTTTGATCTCCAGTACCAAAAAAAATATTATGAATTCTTTTGAAGAGAGAGGCATCTATTTTCAGGTAAACTTTCTCGTTTAAAGTTGCTTGATATAGTAATTATGCAAAGGTAGCAAAATCAGCACTTAATTAGGTAACAGTTTCTTTGTGCCGAGTACCATTCCAAGCACTTTACAGAATCCACTTGTGCCTAAACACAAGTCTGTGAGGAAGTTTTTATTTCTCTGCAGACCAGGGTCAGGAGACAGAGAGGCCAGAGGACTGCGGTGCAGACACAGGTCAGCTCCAGGGCAGCAATGTGCAGCAATACTCGCACAACTGTGCCACACACTTTCCCACAGCGGGACACCCTTGCACTCCTAGGATGAACAGAAGGTGCTCCTGCTGTTTTAAAAACTAGCCCACCTGCTACGATTTCCCTAGAATATTTTTGCCCAGTACTAGGGTTGAAATCCATGGCCTTGTGCACTCCACCACCGAGCCACACCTCCAGACCATCCCGAATTTTTATAACTTGTTTGTGATGACATTATACCTTTCCTGTTTAATAGTTGTTTTTTTTTTTCTTAGTACCGGGGATCGAACTCAAGTCCTTGTACCTGCAAGGCAGGCCGCGGAACCACTGAGCTAAACCCCTGGCCCCTTTTTAATAGTTTTTTTAAAACTTTGCTACCCAAATTATAAGACCCTCATAGAACAAGCTAGAGAATATTCTCTCTTGTTCTATTACTAGAAGAGTTTGTGAAGAATTGGCAAAACATGGCCCTGCGCCTGCCTCGAAAGTGCAAGGTCATGAGTTCAATCCACAGTACCGCAAAAAAAAAAAAAAAAAAATTGGCAGGACATGTTCAGTTTCAAAGAACTCACCTATCAAATCATCCTGGCCTGGTGTTATCTTCTATGGGGAGATTTTTTAATCCCTGTTTTACTTTCTTTAGGTACTCCCTTCAGCTTTTGATGTTGTAATTTATTTCACCCATTTTAATTTCTACTTGGGGGTATAGTCCATAATACACACAAAACATATCAGTACAATAGATATATAAAATAATTGGATTCTATCTTACTCCAGAAAGAATGGCTATCATCAAGAAATCAAATAAAAACAAACGCTGGTGAGGCTGTGAGGAAAGAACCCTTCTCCACACTGTTGGTAGTAATCCAAACCAGTACAACTACTAGAGAAATCAGTACAGAAATTTCTCAAAAAACTGAAACTAGAAATTCCATTTGACCCAGATATTCTCCTTCTAGGTATCTGCCCCAAAGTTAAAGACATCGTATTACAGAGAAACACACATACTCATGTTGATAGCAGCACAATTCATAAAGGCTAAATCTTGGAAGCAGCACATATGTCCATCAATAGATGAAAGAGAAAAGAAAAGGTGGTATTTACACACAATGGAGTATTATTCTGCTATAACGAAAAACTTGAGTAATTTATAGGAAAATGGATGCACCTTGAGACTATCAGGTTAAGTGAAATTAATGAGACATATAAACCTGTCTCGTGGTTTCTCTTATATGAGAAACACAAATTATAAATAAAGAGCAAAATAAAAGATAGAAAACAGGAAGTAAGGAGATAGATCTTTTTCAAATGGGAAGGAGATCAAGAAATGAAGGGTGACAGGAGGAAAAGCAGAGAAAGGGGAAAAGGAATTAGGATGTGTATGCACACATACCAACTCCACATAAGGAATGTAAACATTATGTACTGTAAATATGTACTAATTAAAACTTTAAATTTCAAAAAAAACCCTGGATATACATATTGTGGGGATATCTTCTGAAAACCCTGACTTCTATCTGGGTAAGTACTTTTGGAAAAGTTTGAGGACGAGGGACCTATCCCACAGTGGGTACCTTTTGAATCTGGGTTTCACCAGTTACCTCATGTCACCAACTTCACCCCATACTCCCAGGATCCAGATGAGACCAGCTGTGCCCCAGAGAAGAGGTTTCTTGCTCCTCCCTCTGGCTCACACTGCCTCCCCCCTCCACCCTCAGTCCCACTCACAGCTCCTAGAGTGCTCCCGGGACAGCAGGTAGTTGGCCAGAGGCGGTGTGTATGTCAGGCACTGTACTGTGGCATTCAAGAAACAGGTGTTGCCCAGGTTGTGCAGCCCTGCGCCAACTCGGAAAATGCGCTCCCACCTCAAAGACAAGTGCTCTGTAGGGAAGAGCACTTTCTGCGGCGCTGGGACACCATCATTGCTGCTTCCAGACAAGCGCTCACTGCCTAGAGAAGACCCGGAGACAGGAGGAAGGAGGCAGGTCAGTCCATGCACAGGCAGCTCTCACAGACATCTGGCCACATTTGCTGAGTGCACAATTACTTGAACATAGCATCCACTGAGAGTAAGTAGGTTCCCACTGACTGGAGGCCCCTAGGAAGCCCAAGCATGAACCCCGCCATGCCAGGACATTCCAGACCGCTCAGGTCTAGAATTCAAGGGTCCTCTAGGAAACAGAGGAAAGAACCAGGCCCTGCTGATAGAGTGTACTGCACCCCTATGCAGCCCATCCCATCCCATCCATTTCTTTTTCTTTTTTTTTTTTTTTTTGAGACAGGGTCTTGCTGTATAGTTCAGGCTGGCCTCAAACTCACAGCGACCTCCTGGCTCAGCCTCCCAACCATTGGGATTACAGGCGTGTACCACCACATCTGGCTTTCTATTTCTAAACCTCAAGTAATGGTAGACAGTGTACGTCAAGGAAGCTCTGGGTATAGACTTCCCAGTCCTGTATCAGGCCATCTATGACTAAAACCCATTGACCCAGTGTAAAAGCTACAACTCCCTAAACGCATCCTGCTGCTGTCTCTGGGTCCATTACATACAAGGGCCTCTGCCAGCAGCCTACACACCTGTACCCTGTCTCTTGGCCTGTGGCTCATCTCCACTCTTAGGGTGGCTGGCTCCCTCCGTCTTGGGGTTCAGCAACACGTATTTGCTCTTCAAGGACTCCAGCTGGTAGGAGAAGCTCTTGCTGGCCGGCTCGAACTCAATCTTCTGTAAGAGGACTTTCTTGGCCGAGGCAGCCAAGAGCTTTCTCAGCTCCCCATCCTTGGCTGAGTCCTTTCGGCCAGGCTTCAGGGCCTCCTTCAACTTATCAACTATCGGCATTGTGCATGCCTGTGGGGACAAGAAGGAACACAGACCTATAAATAACTAAGTCCAAGGAACGAGAACATCCCTTGTCTGGTGACCATGGTGCCCACCACCATGAAGACTTCCCTGGGTCACCTGAGTCCACAGAGAGGAAGTGTGAAATAGGGAGACCTCAGGCCTATTAGAGTTTGCACTTCCTCTCAGAAAAACAACAGGCCATGCAGATAGAGCTAACTGCAGTGACAGCACCTGGCCTCCACACCACCCCTCCAATGAGTGTCTCTGCAATCAATACGCTTCGAGTTGACTGCACACTGCTCCCGGTGCTATTTCCTTCAACAGGACAGCATGGGGTCCCAATGTCTGATCAGATACAGGGAACTGCTAATCCTCCTATACACTCTGGTTACTCGCACACCTACACAGCCATGTAGCAAAGGAATCAGCAGGCAGGTCAGACGGGCATGCACGCCTGCAGACTTGTGCTATTCAATGTGAAGGACACGGGCCACACATATAGCTAATGAGCACAAGAAATGAAGCTAGTCTCAACTGAAATGTGTCATAAAAGTAAAACACAAATCAGGCATGGTGCCACACACCTGTAATCCCAGCACTTGGGAGGCCAAGGAAGGAGCATCACCATGAGTTCAAGACTAGCCCGGGATTCATAACAAGTGTTACCAGCCTTCACTGCATAGAGAGACCCTGTTTGAAAAACCTTTTGGTTGGGCCGGGGATTTAACTCAGTGGTATGGCGCCTGCCTCGTAAGCACAAGGTTGTAAGTTTTATCCCGGTACCAAAAACAAAAACAAAAAACAAACAAGCAAAAAGCTTTGGGTAAAATACAACACCAGATTTCAAAAACTTAGTGTAAGAATGTGAAACATCCTAATAATTTTTCAATAATAAAATTTCAATTTTTCAATGTTGAAATTATAGTGTTTTTTACATATAGGGTTAAATAAAAACATTGTGGAGGGGGAGCTCAGGGGTAGAGCACTTGCCCAGCATGTGAGGCCTTGGGTTTCATCCCTAGGAAAAAAAGAATCGATTTCACAATTTCTTTTTATTTTCCTAATGTGGGTGCTATAAAAATTTAAATTATATCCACGGCTTGCATTATATTTCTATTGAACAGTTATACACAAAGCCTTTTTCTAAAAGTGAGGGATCAGCCAAGTGTGGTGGCACACGCCTATAACCCCAGGACTTGGGAGGCTGAGGCAGAAGCACTGCTGCAAGTTCAAGGCCATCCTGGGATACCCAGTGAATTCATGGCCAGTCTAAACTACATAACAAGACCCTGTCTCAAGCAAAACAAAAAACCAAACAAAACCCAGCTAGCTGAAAGGTGGTAGCAGGGATTAGTCACCTTGCTATACATTAGTCCCTCACAGAGTTCTGACACCTCCAGCACAGCGACATAGAAACTGTAACAAAGGGAAGTCTCCCTCTGACTACTACACCTGTATCCACCATTCCACCTCCTCACCTCCTTACCCTCTACCTCAACCACTTTAGCCAAAGCCTAGACTATGTGAGTCATAATTAGAAAATATGTCCTTGAAATTACTCATTCACATCACAAAAACAATGACTCCCTCTGGTAACTGGCACCCAACTACCTGGACAATCAGCTAGTCAGATGCATCCCGAAACTCTACTGCAGAATCTCTTCCACCAGCTTATTAAATCATTCAAATTTATCATTATGGATCACTTAATTCCATATATGGATTAAATATTTTTTTCTACAAAAAATTCCCTAGGGATAAAAATAGAAGAAATTCATTTGTTAATAAAAGCACAAGTTCTGTGCTGTGAGGAGATCAAAAAGCCTTTTCCCAGCCAGGAATGGTGAGGAGTGCCTGTAATCCCAGCTACTCAGTGGGCTGAGGCAGGAAGATGGCAAGTTTGAGGCCAGCCTGAGCAACTAACACTCTGTCTCAAAATAAAATTAAAAGGGCTGAGGATGTAGCTCAGTGGGAGAGGCAGAGTCCTTGCCCAGCAGGTGCAAGGCCCTGGGTCCAACCCCAACACCTCACATGCACATGCACATGCACATGCACACACAGGAACAAAGCTTTTTCCAGTGAGATTAGCTAAGACAGCCCAGCAATAGAACAATCACTGCAGGTCATGTGCAGGCAACTCAGAGGAGAAAAGACCACACAAACCTTCCAGGCTTACCTGGGGCATGCAAACGTGGCCTGCTACTTCCCCTTGAAGCAAGGAATCAAGTTCTTAAGGGAGAAGCTGATTTGCTCCTCTGGGCCCTGGAATTCACCTGCTCCTGGACTCTGGCCTTTTCAATCCCCAAAGCCTAAGAGCAGTGTCCAGAATGGGTGGCGGCACCTGTGGGAGGAGCAATGAGACCATCACCAAGGCTGGCTCTTGCAGCTGTTCCTGAAGTCTCATCCCACAGGTGTGGTGCAGGAACTGTGACCTTCTATGAGGAACAAGTCGCCTGTAAGGGTAAAGGGGTATCTCCAGCACTGAGTTCAGTACAAGTGCAGAGAACTGTGATAACGAGACACAAATTAGTGACACGAAAACATTGTTCTCTTCTCTACCTCTTGACCCTAACACTAATAACAAGTCCAGGGAACAAAACTCCCCCCACCACCTACCAGACAACTGCAGTCTAAATCTCTCTCTCAAAGAGTGAGAGGTAACAATTAACAGATAATAATCTCAAACTCTTGGATTTCGTGAAAACAGTAAAATTTTAAACAAAAAGATTGACAGAATAATAAAAACAGTCAAATGTTTACTTTGCTAAGTGTGGACTTTTAAAGTTCCATCTACGATCACTGTGATTGCATAAAACTAAGGTACTGTACTTAGAAACTTTTACAGCAAAAACATCCACACACACACACACACACACACACACACAAATGCAGAGGACAGCACAGTGCGCACAACAGCCCACTGCTCAGCTTCAACACTGCCTGGTCCACTTCCTCAGCCCAGGTGACCTTGCAGCAGGCCTCAAGCCTTCCTCATCACCAATAAACAGGACTATCAGCACCCGTCCCCAGAGTATAATGGAATGACCTCAGGATAAAGGACACACCTCCAGCTGTCTAAAAACCTTCCCGTAATGTCACTGGCTTTTTTTTTTTAATTGGTACATTTTAGGTATACAATACATTTACATTTATCACTGGGTGTTTGTACTTGAACATGATGGATCTTAGTTCTTATTTTCTCCCCATTACCTGTGCGCCGTTCACCCCCACCCCCCTTCCCTATTTACATAGACTTTGTTTCCATTTTTTTTTTCTTTCACATAATTTTTCCTTTCCTTTCTTCCCTTTCCCCTTCCTCTCCCGCCACCCAATGTCACTGGCTCTTTTGGTCAGGACTCACATCTCACCCGGGACAGGTGAGAATGACCAACACGGTCCTCCACCAGTTCACGTGCAGTACCCACTTCCCAAGAGGATAAACAACAGATTTAAGTCGGTTTCATTTGAGGTAAGTAACAACTCACTCTAATGCAGAGTCGGAGATCTAGAACATATATAATTTTTCCAGGTGTGACAGAAAGGTCAATGTCTACTTTACCAACTCCACCTGAAATATCAAGTGATGGGCTAAAAATGATTATTTCTCTGAGATGTAAAAACCAAGAAAACGTCCTTGTAATCACCAGCAGACCCTCTGATTTGAACACTGAGTAATACTAACGCTTGACTCAGTCCTGATTTCTCTTAATGACCCAGAATGGCTTACACTTATCAATGTGTTTATACCCCTGAAAGTATTCAAGCACAGCTTCCTTAAACCGGAAACGACTTAAACCCCCAAACCCCCAAATTCACTTTTCCAAGTTAAACTGCACTTAAGGCGCAGAGTCAACACGTGTTGGAAATGGGGAGCCCAAGCCAGAAGGGGCTGCGGCCCCTAAGGGGCCTCCAGGGCTCCGCAGAGCAGGGCATCCTGAGTGGGGCGGGGAGAGGACAACACGGATATCTCCTTGGAGCCTGTCTCTGGGCATCCACTGCAAAAACCGAGCCCTGTGGGCCCTGGGGCATTTCCTCCTCTCCGGTCTTAGGATGCTACTCTAGCACCCAGGGCCCCAAGGACAAGCCACACAATCCAACGAAAGCAACCGGCATCTTAAAACTCCTAGGTCTGGCCGGCGCTTTGCATGGCCTTCGGGGAACGTGAGCATGCGTAAGGCTCCCTTCTCCAGACCTCGGTGAAACGAGACGCGTCTCCGCTAGGTAGCAGACGCGCTCTCTGCGACTTTGACTTAGAGCACTGCAAAGTAAGTCCGGACCCTGCTTTAAGATATTTCGGTGGGCAAAGGGCTGCCCATCGCAGACACAGGCTGCTGCCTCCTCCCCTGCCCTGCTCTCTTGCCCGGGGCGAACTCTGCTCCGCCCTCCATCCCCGTCGGAGGGCGCGGGGGTCCCGAAGGAGTCCGAGACACCCCTGGGTCACCCCAAATCCCCGCGAGGACCATGCGACCCAGGCTCCTTCTCGGAAACACCTTCGACTGCTGCTCGGACAGCGCATCCCCGAGTCTGCCCCAAGGCAGCCTCATCCCTGGGCCGAAAACGCGACCCCACACTCTTGAGCGGCCGGCGCAGGCTCCTCCTCGGAGGCACCCGGGGTGGATGGCGCGGCTGCGGGCCCTCCCAGGAGACTCCCCAGGAGGCTGCGTGGATGGAGCGGCCTCGGACCCTCGCCGGGATCCCGCACCCCTTCGCCTTCCCTGGGGTTCCCTCAGATCCCCAAGGACGTACAACCAATTGTCCCCCGAGTATCCCAGGCCGGCGGAAGCCCCAGCGTCACCCTACCCGGCCAAAGCCCAGCCTCGACAGACTTGAACGGCCCGCAGCAGGTCAGCGCAATGCTGGCGTCTTCTCGGCCCAGGCTCTCACGCGCACCATCCGGGCCTACAGGACCTCACACACGTGTCACGGCGACGCTTAAAGGAGCCGCGCTCTACGCCTGCACGGCGTCCACACTGAGAGGTCCAGGCAGCTTTAAGAGGCGGAGCTAGCTTGGGCCAGCTCTCTGGATCCGCCCATCGCCGCTTTACGCGCAGATACGTCACCTCCGAGTCCCGAGGCCTCGGCGGCCTACGCGTTGACGCAGCGCGCAGCCAAAATGCTCCGCCCCCTGGGCCGAAGTCCGGGATTCTAGAGCCGAGCGCTAGAGGCGCCGCCCCTTCCGGGGAGCCGTGGGTGTAAACGGCTCCGCCTTCCCTCCCGTGTGGGTACGCTGGGCCAGTCACAGTGTGGGGACGAACGGGGGTCTCCTGCTACCCCTCGGGCCGCGCAGAGACGCGCGGCGCCCGGTTCTCATCTCCGGGGTCTGTGCCAATCATAACGGAAACAACTTCCTCACGGTGAGGCAGCGCGCTCTGTAGAAGCCTGGGGCTGCCCGGAAAGGTGGGTCTTGGGAGGAAAGGATCAGACACCTTAGGCTTTCGACCTTTACAATCCTCGGCGGCCCCTGTGGATCTCTCTAGCTCCACTTGCCCCTTCCAAAAACTTCATCCTACACGACTCTACGTGAAGGTCTTAGTTGAGTGGTTGAATTTTTCCAAACATTGCTTTGCAATATTTTTTTTAAATTCCCTTGACTCGGAGCAGCTTCATAGCTTCCCCATGGCCCCATTCCCCAATGCAGGTGGACTGTGTTTCCTGGCGTGACCTCAGGAGCTCCCACAGAAACACGGGGCGAGAATAAACTATTTTTTCCAAAAGATAGAACTTGCACACCGTCCTGTCTTTTGTCCTACTTGACGGATAAGACCTGCTATCCATAGCGGGGCTGATAATGTTTTGAGTCCCCAGGGGCAGGTATGCTGAGAGGGGACGGTTTAGAGGGGTCTCAGATGGTAGCGGTCCGAGCCTTTCAACAGGTAAACAACCCAAAGGTGATTCCGTGCCCTCCCCACAGTTCTGAAAGCCAGGGTTGAAGATGGACAAGGAACAGATGTAACTGGAGCAAGATTCAGCTCTGTCTCCTATTGGGAGCTAGTGGGGTTTTTTTCCAGTACCGGGGACTGAACTCTGGTCCTTCCACTTGCCATGTAAGCGCAGCATCACTGAGCTAAATCCCCAGCCTCCGGTGCTAATGTTTTTTGAAAAAGCAGACAAAAACAGAACCCTATTAGCCTGAGATTAAGTCTACGCCCTATCTACAAGAACCTCCATTAAGACATTTAGCTTGAGGTTTATTCTTTTTGTTGTTGTTGTTAAATTCTTTTATTGGTACATTGTAGGTATACAACACAAT